TGGAGGAGAAGGGATTGTAGCGTGGTCATCCTCTCTGGGCGGGGGGAGGGGGATGATTTCTCACTTTTCATCTCTCTGTCTCTCTGTCCTCTGGTGAACACACGTGCCCTACAGAAAAAAACTTTTTTTTTTATTTTTAATTTAACACTGGTTAACACATAGGCCATCAAGAGCTTAGAACTTTCCTCATCATCACCTCCAACTAACAGGCAGAGAGCTTCCTTGTGAGTTCAGCCCAAAGAGGCTATCAGAGGGGCAGATAGTGGCATGGTGGTAAAACACAATGCTCTGTGAGGCTGACCCACACGGAAGGTTCCAGGTTCGCATACAGAGACCTCCTTACATATGCCAGGCATACGTGTGCCGTGATCCAAGGCTAGCTGAGGCTGGGGAAGTGGGGGTTGTCATCAAGACCTTGTTGGGAGTACTGTCTGTCTTAGTCACAGAAGAAATAAACTTAAAAAAAAATGGGCTCACTCCACAGGCTGGTGGTTAAGACAACCAGATCCTACATGGCTGACCCCATGATTCAAGTCCCAGACCTGGCAACTTGAAGAACATGCTGGGCTCATGTGTATGTCTCCCCAAAAATCCTAAATGGAGAAGGAAATGGAGGAGAAGGGATTGTGGCGTGAACATTTCCCATGAGGGGAGGTGCTTCTCCTCTCCTCTGGTAAGCACAGGAACCCTCTACAAAAAAGGAAAAAAAGAAAAAAGGCTACTAGAAGTAGTGTTAGAATGTCCCCAAGCAGTCATATACATTGCTAGCAGAAGTGGGGGATGAAGAGCCCCAGGTGACATAGGTCAATGTGCCAGATCCCATACAGCTGGCTGTGTGGTTCGAGTCCCAGACCGGGCAGCTTGAAAATCACATGAGGTGCATGTGGGTGCATGCCCAAAATCTCAGGAGAAAATCTCATGGTCATTTCTCCTGCAGCATGCTTTCTCACTTTTCCTCTCTCTGTCTCTCTTTAGGCAAAAACCTAAAAAAAAAAAAAAAAAAAAAAAAAGGAAAAAAAAAAAAAAGGAGAATAAAGAGAAGGAGAAAGAGGGACAGACATGGACAGGCCAGTTCCGTTAATCTCTGCTCTTTTTTGCTAAGGCTCTTCCACCTTTTCAATGTGTGATCTCGGGGCATAAGAAGGGCAGGTTTCATTCCTTTGATATAAATGGAATATCTATTACTTATTAGGCGATCTTTAGAACCTGGAAATTCCAAAGTGGGAAAGAAAATTCACTCTACCAAAGATTCCATGGGTGTTCAGAGAAACCGATGGAAAAGAGTTACAATACAACATGTGAGCGTGTGAACGGAGATGTACAAAGTATGAGGACATAAACCCGGGCCCAGTTTTCTTCAGGTTCGGTAAGAGTTGAACTTTGATCTTTCACATGAAATCTAAATAGAAAGGGACAGGGGAAGGCAGAAAGTGAGTAGGACATTTGGGATGGTGGGGGCTGCACTCGGGGAGCCTAGAGGTCTGGCCAGTAGGGGACAGCCAACAGGAGGGAGCCAGCCAAGATGAGCTTGAAGGCTCACAGGAGCGTGGCAAAATGAGGCTCCCAAGGAAGGTGGAGCCAGGTGGGAAAGGCAGCTGGAAAATCTTGAGATCTTGTCTGGCTGATGAGCAACAGCTGGGGAGGACCTGTCAGCACCCCCTCACCTCAGTGCAGCATCCCTTCTTGTCCCAAACATCAGAGACACACACAGTAATTCCTGCCACCCAGAAAGCAGCCCTCTAGCAATCAGGTGGGATGGTGCACTCAGTGACATCTCTGGAACCCTCACTAAGCAGTGAGCAGTGAGGGGCCAAGTGCCTCGACCTGAATGTGCAGACTATAGGGATAATACTAACATGCTGGGCATGTGAGTGCCTTACATGGACCTTCTCACTGCATTCTCCCAGCAACCCAAGGAGGCAGGTGATAGTGTTGTTTTAGATAAGGACATAGGCTCAGAAGTCAAGCTACACCATGGAAAGTGAAGAAGCTAGGATTTAAATTTCTGTTTTGTTTTGTTTTGCTATAGGACACATGCGCTCTCCAAAGAGAGACAGGTGTGTGTGTGTGTGTGTGTGTGAAATCACCTTGTAGGGGAAATGACCACACCACAGTCCCTTCCATTCTCCTCTCAGGATTTTGGGTACTCATGCACATGTGCCCGGTGTGGTGGATCTGGGACTCAAACTGTGCAGGCGGCCATGTGGGATCCAGCACCTTAACCATCATGCCACCTGTTGACCCCAGAGCTGGGATTTAAACTCACAGCATCTGGCCTGAAAGAGATGAGACAAGGTAAGGATGGAGAAGAAACATGAAATGGAGGTTAAAATAATAAAGCAGAGAGTTATTTCATGGGACAAGAGAGATGAAGAGTTTCTACTGATAATTCAGCCTCCAGCAAACAAGCTAGCATGATAGGGAGCCCCTTTGGCCTTCTATCTCTGTCTCTGTCTCTCTCTGCTTCTGTCTTCTAATTTTTTTGTAATTTTTCCCTTTTACTATTTTTTTAAAAAGGTAAAGTTTTTCTCTTGCTCTCAGCTCCACCTTTTGTTTTGTTAATAATCCCCTCTGGTCCTTCCACCCACGCAGGAGAGGTGAGGCCTTCACTCAGAAGAAGATTACTCATGGCTCCTGTGAACTAGTTATTTCAGGGGACAAGAGAAATAAAGATTTTCTACTGATAATTCAGCCTCCAGCAAACAAGCTAGCGTGATTGAACTAAAAGAATTAGAAAGAAACACTCCATCAGATGACAAGAAATCACCGCAGGACCACAAGAAATATGGGAAAGCAAGAAAATACCTCTCCTTCAAGAGAAAAGAATAATTCCTCTTCATCCACAGGCAATTCAATGAAAATCATGGAAATGTCTGATAAAGAATTTAGAGTATTCATAATGGCGAAGCTAACTGAGATGGAAGAGAAGAGAGACAATGAACTGCTAAAGAGAAAAGAGAAAGAAGTTGACAAGTTCCAGGAGGTGAGGAAATTCTTGCAAGATCTAAAAGAGGAATTACACGCTTTACAAAAGAGTCAAACGAAACTGTTAGAAATGAAGTCTATAATACAGGAAGTCAAAATCTCCCTTGAAAGTATTAAAAGCAGACTAGATCATACAGAAAATAGAATCTCAGATGTAGAAGAGAAAATAGCTGGCCTAGAAAAAATCCACCACGAAGACTGAGAAAATGGCACAAAAATTTGAGAATAATATACGAGAAGTACTAGATACCATCAAACGTCCAAACATCTGCATAAGTGGCATTCCAGAAGGTGAAGAGACCCATAAGGGCATTGATAATCTATTCCATGAAATCCTGCAAGAAAACTTTCCAAACCAAGAGAGGCATCCAAAGATCCAGTCCCAAGAAATACAAAGGACCCCAAATAGAATCAACCCAAGAAGATCTTCTCCAAGACATATTATAGCCAGGTTGACCAA